ATCATCCCCCGCAGCTATCACCTTTTGTATCACCTCCCTCTTCCTTTAGATTGTAAGCTCCACAAGCCAGACCCTCCTATTCCTTCTGTACTGAAATGTATTGTAATTGTACTGTCTCCCTTATATTGTAAGGTGCTGAGCAAACTGTTGGCCACATATAAATTCTGTATAATAATAATAATAATTAAAAAATATTAAGACAGTATTTTTTATTGCAATTGTTTATGGTACACCTTGCATTAGTCAACTAAATATCTTTCAGTTTGAGTTAAAGTGGTTTTAGACCCTCTCATATACCCATCTGAAGTGACTGGCCTCAGATGATATATAGAGATGAAACAAATCCTCCTACATAAGATATTTGATTATCTGCAGTCTTCTCTTTTCTACATCCATTCAAAAGGGCTGATTTTAGGTAAAATTATTCTTCATTTGTCAGAATCACAGAGGTGGGTGCAGGGAGCTGCAGGTAGAGCTATGCGAGAGCTGATTGTATATACAGAACCTAGCTACTGTGTGCTGTGTGAACGGGGGGTCCCTCTCCTTCAAACTGTCTGCTGAGCTCCCCCCCTCCTCCCCAACGCAAATGTATCTTATGTGTCGTGAAAACTTCTCAGAAGCGACTCATGTTGATAACAGAAGAATGAAGTGCCAGAGTGAAACGAAACTTAGAGCTTTGGAGAGAGTCAACAAAACACTACAAATATATGTGCTTTGTTCAGATTCCATGACTGAGGTTCACAAGCACTTTACCATCCACTATAAAATATTAGTTACAAATTCTCCAGTCAATATAAAGTATGTAGACTTTAAAAATTACAGTATCCAACACAGAGTGGTAACTGTGAGGATCAGGGGCGGACTAACAACTCATGGGGCCCCCCGGCAATAGGGGATCATGGGGCCCCTGTGTCCTTGCCAAAACTCAAAAAAGCCTATGAAAAAGGTACCAGGGGCAACTCATGGCGCCCCCTACTGACCCCGGGCCCTCAGGCAGTGCCCGAGTTTCCAAATGGTCAGTCCGCCCCTGGTGAGGATATAAACAATGCTCCCAGGTGCCATGTCCTAATTGAGATAAATGAACAGGAAGGGAAGGCCATAGAGTGGACTTTATAGGTACTACAACAATGTTCATTAAAATTGTTACTTTGAGTATATACAGATGTACAATAATTAGTAAAATCATCTGCAGAGAGTGTAATCCCCCAAGGGATGTGTGCAGTTACAAATCTCGTAGGTACATAAATTGTTAATGCATACAAATATACCATATCCCGGTAGAGGTATAGAGAGGCATATTCTGATGTCAATGTCTATAGTGACTCAACATGTTTCGTAATGATATCTCTTCTTCAGGAGTTACTACATAAGAGATAAGTTGGTGTAAATGTGTACATAATATATTATATGTTAATCATTATTTAACATTAAAATTAATAAATTGGGTGTACCTTTATCCACAAGCATCATAGTGGGGGTTGGGAAGGGAGATCTGAGCCCTTGCAGCCAGGGCCAGTTGACAGGGGGACCCCCCCAGTAAGTAAGACAGACAGTCAACAGCCCCTCAATGGGCTTCCTAACATGTAAAATATATGCACCTGTTAAGTCACATGAAGGGAACCTCCTAAATAATAAAGAGTGGTTGAAAATATGGTTTAAACTGACCTTCTTACAGATGGAGGTACAATAATGTCACCGATTCTGGACCAATGGGGCCACATATAGAAAAACTTGGCCACATATAGTATATTAAGGATGTAAAGTCATATTGCCAATTCTGGTCCAGACAGAAAATGTGCGTCAATCATTGGTAATCAATATAAAGTATGGACAAAAGATCTAGGCCAGCTATACATGGCTGCTGAAACAAACGAATTTCGATCCATGGGTCTCCCTGATTGTACACTAGTAGATCTATTGATATTTATTGGTCTTTTAGGTTTTTCCCAAACTATTAATGTTGCTGGCTATAGTCGGAAACACTAATCATTGTATTTTGCAAGGAAGGCTCCTAGTGCTCCCTGTCGGCAGAATACAATAGTGCTGCAGGCAGGATTTCCATATCAACACTGGCTGTGTTGATGGGGGGAAATTGAGCAATTTTCATTCCTTCTACCAGTGGTAGAAGAAAAAAAATTAGCATAATCCAAGGCCTGCCTTGCTCTTTGTAGATCTTCAGGATTATTTCATATGGAAGAAGGATAATAGTAAGGTAATTCTTGTCCATAGCTAAATAATTACAATTTCCACTTCAAGAAGAGAACTTGAATATCACTTTTTTTTATTGTTGCAAAATTTAAAACTGAAGTTATATGAGTCTTAATCAAGACTTTATATGGTAACTTTTCTTCTAATTATAACATTTCTCAAAGTTGATTGGAGGAAAGGGACACCCCCCCCCCCTTCACACAGCACACAGTAGCTATGTTCTGTATAGACAAAATGTCTGCTGAGCTCCCCCCTCCTCCCTGACACAAATTTATTTCATGTATCGAGAAAACTTCTCAGAAGCGACTGATGCTGATAACAGAAGAATGAAGCACCAGAGTGAAAGGACACTTAGAGCTTTGGAGAGAGACAAGTAAACACTACAGATATCTGTGCTTTGTTTAGATTCAATGACTGAGGTTTACAAGCACTTTACCATCCACTATAAATATTAGTTACAAACTCTTCAGTCAATATAAAATATGGACCAAAGATCTAGGCCAGCTATACATGGCTGCTGAACCAGACAAATTTTGATCCATGGGCACCCTGATTGTACACATTTAATCTATTGATAGGTCTGTGGGGTTTTTCACAAACTATTAGTGCCGCTGGCTATAGCCAGAAACACTAATCATTGTATTTTGCTAGCAAGGAAGGCTCCTAGTGCTACTCGTCAGCAGAATACAATAGTGCTGCAGGCAGGATTTCCACATCAACACTGATGAATCGAGCAATTTTATTTCCTTCTATCAGTGGTGGAAGAAAAATAAAATTGCATAATCCTTACTCTTTGTAGATAGTCAGGATTATTTCCTATCGAAGAAGGATAATAGTAAAGTAATTCTTGTCCACAGCTAAATAATTACTATTTCCAAGTCAAGAAGAGAACTTGAATATCACTTTTGTTTATCGATGTAAAATGTATCATTGAAGTTATATGAATCTTAATCAAGACTTTACATAGTAACCTCTCTAATTATAATATTTCTCAAAGCTGATTGAAGGAAAGGGACCCCCCCTTCACACAGCAGCTATGTTCTGTATAGAGAAACTGTCTGCTGAGCTCCCCCCTCCTCCCTGACACAAATTTATTTCATGTATCGAGAAAATTTCTCAGAAGTGACTCATGCCAATAACAGAGGAATGACGCACCAGAGTAAAAGGACACTGAGGTTTACAAGCACTTTACAATCCACTATAACTATTAGTTGAAAACTTTTCAGTCAATATAAAAGATGGACCAAAGATCTAGGCCAGCCATACATGGCTGCTGAACCAGCCAGATTTCCATCCATGGGCACCCTAATTGTACACTAGTAGATCTATTAAAATTGATTGGTCTGTTGGTGTTTTCCAAGCTATTAGTGCCACTGGCTATTGCCAGAAATACTAATCATTGTATTTTGCAAGGAAGGCTCCTTGTGCTCCCCGTCAGCACAACACAATATGGACCAAAATATGGACCAAAGATCTAGGCCAGCCATACATGACTGCTGAACCAGCCAAATTTTGATCCATGGGCACCCTGATTGTACACCATTAGATCTATTGATAGGTCTGTGGGGTTTTTCAGTGCCACTGGCTATAGCCAGAAATACTAATCATTGTATTTTGCAAGGAAGGCTCCTTGTGCTCCCCGTCAGCAGAATACAATAGTGCTGCGGGCAGGATTTCCACATCAGCACTGACTGTGTTGATGGATGAATTGACCAATTCTACCAGTGGTGGAAGAAAAAAAAATGAGCATAGTCCAAGGCCTGCTTTACTCTTTGTAGATCTTCAGGATTATTTCATATGGAAGAAGGATAATAGTAAGGTAATTCTTGTCCATAGCTAAATAATTACAATTTCCATGTCAAGAAGAGAACTTGAATATCACTTTTGTTTTATCGTTGCAGAATTTATCATTGAAGTTATATGAATCCTAATCAAAGCTTTACATAGTAACCTTTCTTCTAATTATAATATTTCTCAAAGCTGATTGGAGGAAAGGGACCCCCCCTTCACACAGCAGCTATTTTCTGTATAGACAAGCTACCAGTGGTGGAAGAAAACAAATTAGCATAATCCAAGGCCTGCCTTACTCTTTGTGGATCTTCAGGATTCTTTCATATGGAAGAAGGATATAGTAAATTAATTCTTGTTCATAGCTAAATAATTACAATTTAAATGTCAAGAAGAGAACTTTTGTTTATCATTGCAAAATTTATCATTGAAGTTATATGAATCTTAATCAAAGACTTTACATAGTAACCTTTCTTCTAATTAGAATATTTCTCAAAGCTTCTTTAATATCTTTATTCCTCAAACTGTATATGAAAGGATTAGAAAAGGGAGTAAACACTGTATACAGCATAACCAGCATCTTAGTGATAATCTGCGACTGGCCTTCATTAGAATGCATGTACATAGCAATGAGAGTTCCATAAAATATAGACACCACTGTCAGGTGGGAGCTGCAAGTGGAAAACAATTTCAGTCTTCCCGAAAAAGAGGATATCTTTAATATTGTTGAAACAATATACGTATATGAAACTATTATCAACAGAAACGGTAAAACAATAACATGGATGCTTAGCACGATGCCTTCCATTTGAACTATGGATGCATCTGAACAAGAAAGTTGCACCAGAGCATTTAAATCGCAAAAGAAATGGTCAACTGTATTTGGCTCACAGAATTGCAGCTGACATATGCTAAGTGTTAAAATTAAAACCAGAGAGCAGCCCCAAAGCCAGGATGCAAAAATGAACTTGCAGCAAACGGCATTATTCATAATAGAGACGTAATGCAGTGGAGTGCAGATGGCAAGATACCGGTCGTAGGACATCACCGTGAGCAAAAAACATTCCAACACTAATGATAAAGCAGAGAAATAAAATTGGGTGATGCAGCCTGAAAAAGAAATGGTGGTCTGCTCATGTAATACAATGCTTAGCATGTTAGGGCTGATATCTGTGGTCAGCATGATGTCCGTAATGGACAGCTGGGAGAGGAAGACGTACATGGGGGACTGGAGGATCTTGCTGCAGAACACCAGCACAATGATCAAGAGGTTTCCACAGATTGTCACAATGTATATAAGAAGTAGTAAGATAAAGAGAGTGAGATTAAGTGTATCCATGTTGTGAAATCCCACAAATAAAATTGTGGTCAAGTTTCTCTTATACATCATCTATATATCGTATACGTAAAGTGTACTTTGCAATATTCACATATAATACACATTAAACTGGGTAGAATAGTCTTTGGTATACTTTATCCTAAGACCTATAAAAAAAGAAAGATGAAAAAGGTGAAATTGTTTATATTATTATTTCAGGTACTTATATAGCACTGTCAATTTACACAGAGCTTTACATATCTATTGTACATTCACATCAGTCCCTAACCCTCAAGGGGCGTACAATCTAAGGTCCCTAACTTACATTCATACACACATATACTAGGGCCATTTAGGCAGGAGCTAATTCACCTACCAGCATGTCTTTGGAATGTGAGAGGAAACTGGAGTAAACCCACGCAGGCACAGGGAGAACATGCAAACTGCAGGCAGGAGATGCAGTGGTTGGGATTTGACCCAATGACCCTAGTCATTGGGTCAATGACTAGGTCAATTCCGCGGGTCAATTCCACATAGTTGTGGAAGTGCTAACCACTTAGCAACTATGTTTATACAAGTTTCACTGATTTAAATAAAAATGATAAATATGAAAACAATTAATATATAGTATTCAAAAATCAAATAAAATACTTAGCAAAAATTAAAGTTAAAAAAAAATCTATTTTTTAAATTGGCTTGTAGGAAATTAGGCTATTGAAATAAAAACAAGAACAAAGGAGAAATTTGAAAATATAATATACAGTATATAATTTAAAAATATAAATCTGTCACCATTCCTACAGTAACCAACACCTCTGTTTACCTGTTTATGGAATGTCCAATTATTTTTTCTGTTTCCAACCCCCTGTTAAAACTAATAAAATTATTTGAACAAGAAAAATATAAATCTGTAATAATAATAATAATATTAATAATAATGTCAAAGCAACAATGTATAAATATTTAACACATACATCAAATAAAACTATGTGTGTTTTTTAACTGATTTTAATTATATTAGGGCTGATTTACTGAAGACAGACAAGCTGTCCATTTAGCAAAGTGAATTTTCAGTTTGCAGGGGAATTTTACTTTCACTTAGGGAACTAGCTTAAGCATTGCTGGCTTTCATCATTCATTCCTGCGTTAACCCTTTGAGGACCAAGAGACGTATTTGTCCCATGTTTTTAATTGCCTGTATCATCTGATTAAGAACTTAACTAATATTTTGACTCAAACCAATAAAAAAAAAAGGATTTTCTTATCAACAAATGGATCTAGCTTTTTTCCAATTATTTCATGAAATGGCTTAGTTACAGCAACTGAAGTGTAGGAACTTTTTGGCGTTCCAAAATCTTACGGTCCTCAAAGGGTTAATCACAAGCCAGGAAAATTAAAAAACAAAAACAAACATTCTTTCTTTTACTAAGTATACTTTGGGGTTGATTTTCTAAAACTAGAGTGAAAAAATTAGTGCATATCTGCATTGAAACAAATCAGCTTCCAGGTATTTTTTTTTTTTTTTTTGTCAAAGCTTAATTGAACAAGCTGAAGTTAGAAACTGGCTCCCATGCACAGCTGCACAAGACTTCAATTTTAGTAAATCAACCCCTTTGTAAAGTGAATTTTCCCCACATTCACTAACCTTAGTGAAAATTCCCTAGCAAAGTTAAAATGTACTTTGCAAAAAAAAACACGTGTTACTCGTTTAGTAAATCAACCCCATCCTGTCTTAGAAAAGTTGGTACATGGATAAATATTTTAGCAATATAGTGTAATATATTTTAAAGATTTTTTTTTTTTTTTTTAGAGGTACATTTTTAAAGTGTCCTTGTTCTCTTATTATGCATTAGTGGTAATACCCATTGATTCATATGTAGCAGGAAAAGATTTAAGATATAAAAGATAATTTTATGTGTGATATTTACGCATAACTTCTTAAAATGGAAATTGTACAACTTGTACAGATGTAGAATTAAGCAAACCCATTTTAAATATTACCTAGTCTTCTACAACTACAATATAATACACTGTATTCTCTCACAAAAGAAAAAAATACTATCAGATAAAAAAGGCCCTTACAATGTTTACTTTGAATCTTTTATGAAAATCATTCAGGAAAATTAAAGTATCATGACATTATAAAAAATAAAATCAATTCAAATGCTTTCTGAACAGGAATTGTATTTGTATAGAAAAAGGAAAATTTATTTATTGTTCATATAAACCAAACATAAAAAATATAAAATATGAAAAGAGAAAAGAGTAAATTCATTTGTGAAACACATGTGAGAATATATTGCACTTACAGTACTGATGGCTAATTCTTCAATGCTTCTATAATAGCCAAGTTGCACCACTGGCAAATCTCTCTATCTATATATATATATATCTTACAGAGAATGAAAGAATCATTCCATTGAGAATTAGCACTGTGTGTTTATATTTAAACAAAATAATTGCTTTTAACACCATGATCACAAAAATAATATACGGTATATTGCATTTAAAGCAAACTCAGGGCTGCCCCTCCACCTTCAACTTAATGCACCCCCAGTTGCAGAGATGATCATGACAAAAACACTTATTTCATTTCTTTTTGGATTTTCTCGTTAAAACAAAGTAAAATTATTCAATTATTTGTTATGTTAGAATGATTCATTTTCCAATATTGTTTTGTATATTCATTTTTTTTTTCTTTTTTCCCAACGAGAATATAGGGTATGTAGATCCTTTCATCTTTCTCACATTGCTACTTCATATATTTCACCATAAATTCTTCCCATTTTCTCCACCTCTTAGAGAACAACCCCATCCTGTCTTCCTGCATATAACACAATCTCTCCATCTTACAAATTTGATTCATTCTTTCCACCCAGTCCTCTTCGGCACCTCTGGTCTATACCAAAACTTAGGTATCAAACCCTTCGCCGCATTCAGGTAGCACCATATACCCGAGTCCTTGTACTTATTTACTGATAACTCTGTACTATGTAGTAGACATACATCTGGGTCCAGTCCTATCTTTATCCCAGAGATATTCTCAATCAGTTGTATATTCAGATTTGCTTTTTATATTTCTTATTTTCAAACGGATTCTAAATGTGAAATTCAAATTCAGTTGAGTACTGTCCGTAATACTTTTTTTATTTGCACTAACATACAATCTTGAGGACAAGCTTCCATTCAGGAAAGAAAAACTTTTGAACTAAGTATAATAATTCTATTTGACACAAGAGATAACGGCCTTAACTTGGACATGGGACTCCTCAATCATAATCCAACATTTTTATGACTCTGTGATCTTGTCCCCCCCCCCAGTCTTTGCTTTTGCTTTGCTGTACCTTATCTCTAATAAAGGGTCTCTAGTTTAACCCTAGGCTTGTGTTTCTTCTGCTTTTTTTTTTTTTCTCTCATCTCCAACTTCTAACATTCTGCTAAAACATTGTAATAGTACTGCTTGGACCTTGAAGAATGGGACATTCCCCGAAAGCTTGTCCTCAAAATTGTATGTTAGTGCAAATAAAAAAAGTATCACGGACAGTACTCAGTTGTTTCTGTCGCAAATTCACTAATACGGCTACAATCGCCTCAAGCAAAATTCAAATTCAAAATTTGAATGTTAAAATTCAAGCAAGCTTTAAACTGTGAATTTGACATTTGGATTTCAGAAGGAGATTTCTATTCTTTTCTGTTCTATTCCTTTATTTTCTATCCTATTCTTTTCTATTTTATTCTATTCTATTCAGCAAGAAGAAATCATCATCTTATTTCAGTTGTATACCTTACTGTATTTATTGCAATATGTTTCCATTTAGAATTCAAATTCATTTTCTAATTCAAATTTGGATAATTAGTTTCAATATAATTTATTTTGTATTCATTAAAATGTGTTACTATTGTGATTTAGAAATGCATCTGATTCTCCCAATAACAAAAATGTAGTCTGAATTTCTATTTGTAATTAAACTTATTGCACATGTGTAATTGCAAAGCTGTTTTTAAAATTAAAATAACAAAGACGTTATACTTACCTGCTCTGTGCAATGGTTTTGTACATAGCAGCCCTGATTCTCTTCTTCTGGGGTCCCCCGCTATGGCTCCTGGCTCCTCCTCCTCAATGCCTAGCAGCCCTCTCGGCATTTGATTGACAACAGCAGGAGCTGTCCAGTGAGGAGGGAGAGAGCGGAGAGAGCTGCTGCTCTCGGGTACAGCACTGGATTGAGATCAGGCTCAGGTACGTATAAGAGGGGGCTGGGGGGATCCATCTGACACAGAAGTTTTTTTTACCTCAATGCATAGATTGCATAGAGTTAACAAATATTAAGGGGTCAATTTACTAAAGGTAAATAGACGGTGCACTCTGCAAGTGCAGTTGCTCCAGTGCTTAATAAATGAGGTAAAGCAAAGAATACCAAATCACATGCAAGGAAAATAATAAAAAAAATAGGAATTTTTGCTTGCTCATGATATAAAACACTGCAGGAAGAATTTTCAAAAGAGAACCAGTTAAGCAAAGTTTAAATCAGTCAACTATGTTATCCAACACTGCAGAAAGAGTTTGTCACAGAGGGATAGTAAATCAGGGGATGAACTGATAGGAGAAATAGAAGATTTGGTTATTAGCTGAAGGCAGGATAGGCTTCCCTGAAGAGATAGGTTTTCAGAGATCGCCTAAAAGTGGGCAGAGTAGGAAATAGCTAGACAGATTGGGGAAGAGAGTTCCAGAGGATGGGGGAAGCTCTGGAGAAGTCCTGGAGATGAGCATTGGAGGAGGAGACAAGGGAGCTAGAGAGCAGGAGGTCATGGGAGGAGCGGAGAGGACGGTTTGGGTGATATTTGGAGACAAGATTGGTGATGTAATTTGTGGCAGTTATAAATGGCTTTATATGTTACTGTTAATGTTTTGAATTTTATTCATTGGGTAATGGCAAGCCAGTGGAGGGATTGGCAGAGAGGGGTGGAGGACACTAAATGGAGGTCAGTGGAGGGATTGGCAGAGATGGGTGGAGGACACTGAG